TGCATCCAAAGGCTAAGCGACTAGGGCATCGGTTATTCGCTATCGTTCCTAGATGTAAAGAATCGTCTCAAACTTTGTATATAACGAGTACTCACATAAGGGGACATCAATGATCGAAAACTTTTTTCGTCTGATCGCCAGTTTCTCTGTTATGAGAAAGTGACCTCGAACAAACGAACGGTGATAACGTATTAACCACAGCTTATATGAGACTGATTTTTCCACTGATCATCAAGAAATCAAAGCTCTATCACACAAAAAAATATCAAGGTCATGAAACGTGATATACAGAGTTTGAGACTAGTCTTTACATCTGCGAATGAAATGTCTGAATGTCCGTTTTTCTGACCTGACGCGACTAGATAGATGAGACAAATAAAATTATGCTATTCTTATAGACAATTAAAAGTTACATCTAAAAAATGTTTTTGATGAAAAAATCTTGTCACATAACTGTACAAAAAGCAATCGAAGTTTCAACTTTGACCTCAATTTACTCGAAAACGGTGCATCTGAAAAATTTTTTAATAGCATTATTGGACTCAGTTTTTATGCCTATACAAACCATCCAAGTCCCTACTCTTAACTCAAAAGTCAAAGTTTTTGCAGTATGTCCTTTGTCTCCTTGTTTATCCAAAAGTCATAGTTGTTTAACAAATCAAGGAAAAGAAATTCGTGTTCTTCTTTTTGAATCATTCATGAACTCGCTGACGAACAATCCCCTTCGTTTATCATTTAAACAGATGTTGAATGTTATTTACAATTAAAAGTGGCATAATTAGTCATTATTGGTTCCAATTGAAGATTATATGAACCAGAAAGTCAATAAGATCGCAGCTGCTTTGCTTGAAAAACCCAAATACACGCAAAACGAATGAAGTTATTAGTCGATTTTTGAATTTTCACTCTTTTCTTAATTTTTTCATCTCATGGTGATTTTTCGCAGCGTATTATTCAGATCGAAGGATCAATTATTATATGATATTATTTATCTCACAAAATATTATAAACTTTGCTAGAATCAAAGCAAATATTAATATAATAATTTCAGCCCTGAAGAGTTCACTTTCATGGGTTGGATTGAAGCTTGCACTTATTGTTGAACTCGAACTCTGACCTCCAGCGTATACTTGATAAGATAACGACCTCTTTTGGTATTAAATACACATAAGATGATTTCAAAACTGATTAAATGAGCATGAATCAGTTAAAGCTAAAATCAAAAGAAACTGAAAAAGTAGAGATAAAAATATTCTCTATTATGTTATAAAAAAGACCACATAAATACCAATCAAATAAATAACCTATTCGAGACAAGTTGTTCTTTATACCATTTCTGTGATTCGTAAAACTTTTTTTCTTCCATCTCTTGGTTACTTTTTTGAGCCTCCATCATCCATCTTTGCCTTTCACTTGACCAAAAATGTTCAATTAGATTATCACTTAAGATCAATGTAAGAGTATAAAAATGATCACACCAAGATTGACAGTTAAAAAGTGTAATGAAGGAAAACAAAGTGCCTTGAAATGATCACAATAAGAGTTTCAGTTATAATTCAATGATAAGGTAAAGGAAAGGGAAATATATTGTATTAACCTTAATGGATAACTCGTTATTTTTAGCCTTCTAATAGGCACATTTAAGCTTCCCATGTTTTGAGTGAAAACCCGAATTTCATCAAACACTATTTCAACTCTTTAATATTGATTCGAATAAAAATCTTTCACATTTCCTAAGAATAACCTTTTCACTCGACCAGCAAATGCACAAAAAAGTTTATTGTCAATCCAAGTTGAGCATCTGATTCAGATAAACCATTCGAAGCTGAATCCATCGAGAAAAGTTCAATTCTTGTTGGACTCAGTGATGGCTAGAATAGATAAGATCAGATAAGAGCATTTTATCATAGCATCACATCATATTCATATTGTTTTTATTGTTTATTTTTAGTTAGAAAATAGAGAAATAAAGTGTTTTTTGCAGTGAAAAGTTGAAAGTAAAATATTTCTTGGATGACTGAAAGACTGAGAAATATGAAAAGCTGAAATGAAGATTAGGAATGAGAGAAGGATGAAGAAAAAAAATTTGATTTCTTCATCAGTTTTCTTCTTTTCAGCAGCAACATGAAAGATAAAACGTAAAATAATGTGGTAACCTCAAAAGCAAACTTAATGGCTCTTTTAATATGCCAAAAAGATTCATTTGACTAGTCTTTAGGGAATAACATTGAACAACAGGGTGAAACTGAATTGAAATGTCAAGATTATTTTACTCTGTATTGATCCTTTTCTTTCCTTTTTTTCCTTCTTTTCTTCTCATTTTAAACTCATCAATTGCATTCTACATGCAAAATCAAAGGTAAATTGTTATTATTCTCTTGCACTTGGCAAACAAAATTTAGATAATTTACTGATTTGCTTTTCACCAAAATAAACTTCATTTTGATGATAATGATAATCACTTGAATATTTTTGCTGATTTAACATGCATTTCATTTGAAATGGTTCTTTGTTGATGGATGCAGTTGAACACAACTAATACTTTTATTATGCAGACTTGTTCAATTTATAGCATTTTTCTAGTCAAATTGGTCAGAGTAAATTCAATGACGAGTTTACCAAAGTTGAGAATCATTATGTGAAGATGAAAATACATTTAACTCAGTCATTGATATTGATCCATACATTAATCATTTGATTTCGTTTCTATTGAAATGATGGTTGGAATGAGGTTTAGTTGGAAATTATTTTGATTAAATAACAAATATAAGATTGAAATACATTCAACTGAGTAATGATCACAAATGAACAGCAAATTATCAGATAAGATCCATTTTCAACTTGAACTTTGACTTACCTTGCTGTCATTCCAGAGTTGAGTAGGAAATGAAAATGAAATGTAAAATGCAATAAGAAAAGAGTAAATGCAAGATTTTTACTTTGTAGTCATGAAAGTTTTTCCACAAAAATTGAATAAAAAGTAATGGCTTTCATATGAAAATGCTTCACAGTAATAAATATGTTTAGAAACTATTCACTTATTATAATTATCCGAATATGAAAATTATTCCATTGATTAAATTATACAAACCTTTGCGCGATACATTTTGTTCAAATTTACAAATGCATTTGTAGCCTTCTATCCATTTGTATTGAATCTTATTGTAAAGATGTCAGGAGAAGAAGCGATAAAAAATAGCGAGCATTACGAATGTGAAAAAATTAGGAGAAAGTTGCTTGATCTGTGTTTTTAAATCATTAATTTGAGTTTGATGCACAATTCAAGTAGTCTGAAGTTCCTTGCGTTCTTAAGGAAATCTTCATTTAGTCTTTTCGCTGTAGTAAACAATCATGAAGCAGACTCGAGAGTTTAAATTGTGCCTTTTTTCAGTCTCAACGCTCTTCTTTGCATTGTCGTTCATAAGTCGATGTATCTTTGAAATAAAAAGTTTCACTCTTAACTAATGTGTTGAACTGCAACAAGCTTTGTTTTATTCCATTACTTAGAAAATTCAACCATAACTCTCAGCTTTTCATTTTGTAATACAAATTAAAATACTTTCTCTTTTAATGTATTAAAATTTTCAGTATTCATAACAAAATTAAAATAAACATTTTGCAGTATTTCAGCTTCACCAGACTTTTAAGTGGATCAGGTCCAAGCTGCAACATTAAATATCAACAGCAACAGTCGAAGCCACATTAATTATCCAATGATTCCTTAAAGTGTTCATTGAATCGACTTCTCGTATTCTATTTGCTTCTTCTAGCTGCAACAGCAATAGCCAGCGATTGATCTTTGGCGCCTCTACCTCAAGTCAACAAAGTCTCTTTATCAAGATGAGACAATCGAACGCTGCAAAAAATTAAATCAAGATTTTATTGTCAATAACTTTGAAAATCAAAAGTATGAGTCCATCCGAAAGAAGCATAATTTAGAAGTCCAGCCGAAACTACAATATTTTAAGAAATTTATCGAACCTGCTGTTTTCGTAGAATAACTTTGAGCTGTTGGATTTCGCGAAATTCAAAGCAAAACTGTCTTCGACTGCTTAATAGTTAATTTGAACACTGGATGAAAATTCAAAACATTCTAAATTGCGAATAACATTATAAAGTCGGTTTAGTTAGAAAATATAAAAGCTGATTTTCTATCTTTGATTTAGTGGCCACTTGACAATTTCGTTCAACTGATATGGTTATGGATGCTTTCCGATTTCTGGAATATTTAACTTATCATAAATTCTGAGATTTTATTGATTGTGACAACTAGGACAACAAGAAAAATGGAAATGAAATTAGCTGTTAAAGTACTTTATAACAGTAAAATTACCTGTTATATCCATGCTGATTGCCTTGAGGTGCATCTTGTCAGAACAAGAGTCTATTGAGAATTTGATGAACTCTAACATGATGGACCAGAAGAATGATAGCTGTTGGCTGCTACTTTACTCTTCTTTTGCCTTTACAAAAGCTCTTGATAATCTACAGGATCGGAAATGTTGAATCAAGTTGGGTTGAATTTGGGGTGATGAAACATGATGCCTGAATAAACCATGAAAAAGGCAAAGATATTCTCTTGATAATATTTTTCTTTCTCTGACTCTCCCCTCCATCTGTTGAAGAATGGCAGAAGGAAAAGCTTGAGAAGAAGAAAAAAATCATGTTGTATCACTTTCATCATGAATGAGTGGGAATAATTGTATCACACTTTATTGATGCTCCAAACCCATCTCTTTTCACCTCCTCAAGGTAATTCCGATATTGATGATGATTGTCCACTTTGATGGAGATATTTATTTACTGCTTGATAAACAAGTTTCCTCTTTCGTTCAACAACTTGTCTTAACGAGGGTACAACTGATGAAGAGCGAACAGCTTGAGTTGATTCCGTCATATTGGCTGATACAGGGGTCGAAGCCATAGCAAAAGGGTCAAATGGAAGGAAATGTTGAGGTCGACGTTTCCATCCATTGCGATGTTTATCAACACAATCCAATCTTTCCTGAGTTGAATTCACTCCAAGAAAGTTCAACACTCGGTTCAATTCGCTTTGCAAATTGTTGAGGAAATCTTCATATCGAGTTATCAACAGAGGCCCTTTAAAGTTGAGCCAGTCGAGAGTGAACGATGACCAATGGTCGACATTTTTGAGAACATAATTTCTCCAACCTAAAGAATTCGCAAGTAAAAAAGAAAAAAAAGAAAAACTTTCGTAAATAAATTCCTCACTCCAAGCTCACTCCCAGCTGGGAGTAATTCAAGTAAATAAACTTTTCGTAATCAACCTTTTCTCAGCAAAACAAAAGTAAAGATAAATGAAGGAACTTTTGCAAGTGTCGAATTTCAAGATTCAGCTGAGAAAATTTAAATATAAAACTAATAAAGACGTAAACGGGAAAATATTAATCAAGAGAAACTCGAAAATAATGAGAGCCATATTTTAAACTCGAAACTGTTCTTGTTTCTGTTTCCACTCACTTTCCGTTTCTCGTAAATATGTGCACAAATAAACAATATTCATATTAAATTTTCATTATCATTATTATTCAGATAATCATCATTATTATGGTGAATAAAGGGAGGCGATATTAAATGATAACTTGATACTTTGAATGTTAAATGAATGTAAAACGATAAAAATAAATTATATCAAGTTTCAATGAGTGAAATTTGCTCATACCATTAACCACAAAAAAAAGAGTCTAATGATTATTTCACTGAGAAATTACTCTTTTCGCTTTTATTTATAACACCAAGTAATATATTATTCCCTTTCTTCTAATTTTACTTCGAAAAATGTTATTCAACGTTTATCTAAACCCTTGTGAGTATTTCATTTCTTTTCAAATGAAGAGAAACTCTGAGTGGCAATGGCTTTGCAAAAGTGTTCAGGAAATGTTCATCTCAAAGGAATGATTAATTGAGATGAAAATTCGCCAATGAGCAACTTTAATATTGATATTCACCATTTGGATATTTATCTCTAATAATGGTGACAATAATGATCGCCAAAAGGATTGAATTGATGATCTTTAGATTACAACTTGGACAATGAAAAATATTCACTTCAACCATTTGCCATTCATAACCGACTAACTTTGAGACATTGCAGTTGGAGTTTATCTTCGATAACATTTTGATTGTTGCTTAATTGTCATTGTCGTATGTCATTGCTGACACTTCGATATAATAAAGTAAATGCAGGCATCAAGTTTTCCGATTGCAATGGAAAAGCAGCAGGAATAGAAACTGTTTCTGATGAATTCCTAGTACGCTTTAGGATGGAGTTTAGGACATTGATGGTTGAATCTAAGGTGAGTTCATATTTTGATTTTATTGTCGGTTTCTACTCAGATGTTGAAAACTTTTGAAAAGTTAGAATTGACTGGAAAAAAATCTAAAAAATCGAAAATTTTTGATGCAATGTGAGCTGAAAAGTTTGGACAGCAAAGAACCATCAGGTAAGGTCCACTCAACAGGCAAAATTAGTCATTTTGACAATATTGCGCATCATGGAAATGATTGGCAATGTTGAGTAAAGAATGTTTTATATGCACAAACTGTTTTAGATCAATATTTTCCTCTACTTTTTTCATTACACATTTTTACCTAATATTGGCCCAACTCACCTGTGTCATTCAATTTAGAGACTGGAGCATGACCCAAATGACCACCTGAACGTCGATTAAACTCAGATAGTAAAACTTTGAATGGATTTCGCAGAAGGAAAATGGCCTTGGAAAAAGGTTGACGACCAGAGGTTCCATGTTCATGAGTTTTAACAACAATCATTGATCCATTGGAAATTCCTTCACCAGGGAATCCTCTAATTGATAAGGCAGCATCATGGTAAACACTTCCAGTTAAATAGCCTAAAAGCAATGAGATGAGAAGAAAAGGGTTGACAAAATGAAAAAAGTGCAAAAAACGAAACTTTTTTTCGAAAAAAAAGAAAAGCAAACTTTTCCTCTTGCAATTTCCAGCCAAAACTAAATCGTCATTTTCCCATCAATAGTTTAGATGATCACAAATTGCTAAAACATTTTATTAGCCTTTACCAGTTACATAATTACTAAGCATCATTACCTGTCAGGTAATTGATAAAAGTGTAATTTACGAAAAAATAAAGTGACATTATCTTTGATAAAGATTAATGAGGTTACACTGTTTTTAAGGTCAAAATGATGGTTAACCCAAGTTTACGGGGAAACCATTAAATGGCTGATAATTGTTGATTAAATGAATGGTTATTTCAATCTGAGCATATTCTGATTGCAAAGAAGGATGTCAAAAATGGCCTACTAATATTATTTTTTCTAACATATTTTTTCCGATGTAAATTTGCATGCTAATTCCAAATATTTAATTAAAATTTTTATAGCACGCATAGTTTTCGAGATATAGGCAAAAAATGCTAAAATCCAAAATAAGCGCTGAAGCAAGCTGATTTTTTCTGGGTATACATATTTTGTCATGAACAATTTGATAGTGAATGTAAAAAGTGCGAAAAAATAGCCAAAATCAGACTTTTTTCAAAAAAACTGTATTTTTCATAGAAGTTCAAAAAGCAACTCAACTAATCGGTTCTGAAGCAAGCTGATTTTTTCTGGGTATACATATTTATTCATGCACAATTCGATAACGAATGTAAAAAGTGCGAAAAAATAGCCAAAATCAGACTTTTTTCAAAAAAACTGTATTTTTCATAGAAGTTCAAAAAGCAACTCAACTAATCGGTTCTGAAGCAAGCTGATTTTTTCTGGGTATACATATTTATTCATGCACAATTTGATAGTGAATGTAAAAAGTGCGAAAAAATAGCCAAAATCAGACTTTTTTCAAGAAAACCGTATTTTCTACACATTTTACACAAACAGAGCGTTCAATATGTCAGAAATCAGAATATTAATCAGAAAAAGATTCAGCATTGGCATGCTTTTCAGCTTTTGAATAGAAAAAGAGTAGATAGGTATCAAAAAAAGTTCGCGAAAAGATAATATCCTTACCGTATGAAGGTTTATTATGAATAACCGCGATAAAACCGATTTTAAAGATAAAGTCGAACTTTGGCTATTTTTTAGTAATGCCTTGATGCGTATTCTTACTACGCAGCACAAATACTGTATACTCAGAGAAAATCAGCTTGCTTCAGAAGCGATTAGTTGAGTTGCTTTTTGAACTTCTATGAAAAATACAGTTTTTTTGAAAAAAGTCTGATTTTGGCTATTTTATCGCACTTTTTACATTCACTATCGAATTGTTCATGACAAAATATGTATCTCTAGAAAAAATCAGCTTGCTTCAGAACCGATTAGTTGAGTTGCTTTTTGAACTTCTATGAAAAATACAGTTTTTTTGAAAAAAGTCTGATTTTGGCTATTTTATCGCACTTTTTACATTCACTATCGAATTGTTCATGACAAAATATGTATCTCTAGAAAAAATCAGCTTGCTTCAGAACCGATTAGTTGAGTTGCTTTTTGAACGTCTATGAAAAATACAGTTTTTTTGAAAAAAGTCTGATTTTGGCTATTTTTTCGCACTTTTTACATTCACTATCAAATTGTTCATGACAAAATATATATCTCTAGAAAAAATCAGCTTGCTTCAGCGCTTATTTTAGGTTTTAGCATTTTTAGCCTATATCTCGAAAACTATGCGTGCTATAAAAATTTCAATTAAATATTTGAAATCAGCACACAAAGTTACATCAAGAAAACCATGTTAGAAAAAATTCTATTAGTAGGCCATTTTGCCTATTCTTTTTGACATCCTCCTTTGAATGGAACACAAAAAAAGAGTAAAATGATTGGAACCATTTGATTACCTTTTGGGTTGAAATTAATGATTATTTAGTTTTTCTGTTTACTCTTTTTGTTCACCCTTGCTTACCATTTGCACATTATTTGTACAAAATGCAAATGTCAACAATTATTTGACCTTAGCTTGTGGTCATTACCGTGTGTGTGTTCAATGTAAATAAAGAAGATTAAACTCGATTAAATAAGTTGAACATTGAATGCTAAAACAGCAAATGAATAAAATTGAAATCGAGCAAAAAGAGTTAGCAAACGAAACGTTTTCGGACAAATGAACAACAAAAACTTTTCCACAAAATAAAATGCAAAACTTTCTGTTAAATCATTCAAAACATTCAACACGAAAGTTGAGATTCACCTTAGCAAGTGAAAAATGTGTAAATCATGAACTTTTTTGTTTTGACAAATGTTGATGTTCAAAGCAATGTTTCATCCAAAAAAAGGTTAACACTGAGCAAAAGCAAATTGTGTCAACTTGTAAATCCAAGAGTAATAAGTAGATCCTGAAGTTTACGGATTTACAGGCTTTTTGAAAGTCCATTCATCATTGGCACAAACCAGGAAAGGAAATAAAAAAAGTGGAATAAATGAACAATTGATCAAAAAAGAGACAAGATTGTCAGTCGAGTTGTCAGTTGTTGGTTATTAGCAAGTTGCTTACCACACTTGACAAGCCAAGAATACTAACAATCTTTCAATGTCGATAATCAGTTCTCTCATGATATGGTAATTAATAATGAAGAATGACCAATGTCTCGATAAGTGTCCAAAAGAAAAATGTAAATGTCAATGGAAGTCTAAATTATCTCATGAATTATCTGTTAATACTTGTGAATCATTCAAGACGAACATTTGTTAACAAACGTTTTTTTTCGAGTAAATTTATGAGTCAATATTTTCTGTTAGTTCATTTTGTGCTTCAACTTATTCCCACAATAATTGCTTTTAGGATAATGAAAGCAAAAAGTATAAACGAAATTCAATCTCACCAATCGCACCATTCCCTGACTTTTGCTCCAAGATCATCATGCAGTATCATTTTCTTCATCAAACTTTTCTCTTCACATTTTTACTCTTCAATGACCCTCAGGGAAACAAATTATATTAAAAGGAAGAAAATAACTTTTCTCTTCTATTTACTTCTACTTACAGTTTATATAATCATTCTTAATGATATTTGTAGCCGAGTTTCATTTTTATCTCTTTTTTCGTTACAATCAAAGTACAGAATCATTTATATATTTTGTTGTTCAATCTTTTGTTTCATCAATTTCAATCTTCGTCTTTTACTTGTCTCATCAGACTCACTCATTCTCTTCATCCTCTTCATAATCTTCATCTTTATTCTCATCTTATTCCTTTTATTCCTCAATTTCATTTTCTCGACATTTTTAGCCTTTTTCTTGCTTCTTCATCTTGAGATGCTTTTGCCTCTTCACTTTGATCCATTGAAAGTTAATCGACCACAATATATATATTCACTTATCGTTTTGATATATACGTGAAAAGGGCTGAGAGAAGAGGATAAATTGTCGGCAAAACTTGGAATAGCATTTCATCAATTTATTATCATCATTATATTCAATTTGTGATTGCATTTTTTACCATCAAATGTCACAATTTTCCAAGAGAAAAAGTAAAAATAATAATTGTTTCAAGATACATAAATAATGTTAATAATAGAGGAAAATATTTTGTTTCAAAAATGTTCATTCAACTCAATAATAACAGTGTTTTGATTTATTTCGCTTTTCCTTTTCGAAACAAATCATACAATGATGATATTAATCAGAAGGAATAATGGTTTTTTACCAATGAATTTATAACAAATGTCACAAAGAGAAAAACAATTTCAAATTGTCGTTGGATTATTTTGCAGTGAAACGACATTAGATTTGATTTGCGGATCAAAAGGAAATATCTGATACATTTGGAAATACTTTTGACATAAGTGCATTTCTCTATTTACATTGAATTTCGAGACAAAATACAGAAGAGAAAATCTTTAAAGTATGAAAAAGCACTTCAATAGATGATGTATTGCACCGGAAAAATAGTTATTGTCTTGAAAAGAATTCAATTTCAGTTCCGAATCAAAATGTTCCGAAATTTTCACGCTTAAAGCTTCTGGAGACAAGAAATTTCCGCAAACTTGTCAGTCCAAAAGACCAGTCTAACAAAAGTCTTTCTTTTGGAATCGGATTTTTCCAAACTTATGGAAATATGAAGTCACAACATTGCATTTTTAAGTAAAAATGTGTGAATGTTGAGTAAACTGAAAGGATTGTATTAATAAGAAGTGCATTTAAACACTCCGAAAACAATGATTGAACTCGCCTCCGTAAAACAGTCACAACTGAATCGAAATTTCGCAAATTTCTTAGGTTTCTGCAATGGGTTTTAGATAAAAAAGTTGAGTCTTCTGTTGTGTATTTAAATTGGCATTGATTGTTCTGCACTCAGAAAAACTTGATGGTTTGCTCGTAGCAATAGCATCAAAACGGAAAAAATCAACAAATGCATTCTACGCTGTTTGCTAGAACTCGATAGAAAATTGTTGTTGAAAAACTTCTGCTTGGGATTGCAAATTGTATGCACTTGAAATACTAATCTGAACCTTCACTTCCAACCTCAACTAGTGTCAATCAATAGCCTCAATGGATATGCATTAACCAAAGGTATCTGTGGACAAAAACTTTACTCAATTACAATGTTGCTAATTAAAATGTAAACTTTGATTGACACGAACAAATTATTGAACAATCGAATTGAGGATAAAAAGTAAAACAAAAGCCACAACATTGACATTAGTAAAAAAACTTGCAAAGCAAACATTTCAACTGAAGGCGACAAAAAATGATGATTCGCCAAAAATGAAGTTAATTTATGCCTAAAACTCGATGCAAAATAAATATTGAGTAAAGACGGAAGGATTGCAGCTAATTCATGTCAATAAGCAATTTTCTTGTCAACTCTCATCAAGTTTCCAAGCAAAACCTGAATATTTCAATCTTACTTTCACTGAATATTTAAAGTAAATATTAATGTTTAAG